TGAAAAGTGCTTTATAAATAAAATGTATTATTATTATTATTATTATTATTATTATTATTATTATTATTTTGTTGCTTGACAGTTTTACCTTGATACCTTTGCGGTAGTTCACTGAACATGCACCTTTCTTTCTCATGAACAGACATATGTCTATTTGTATGACAATTAAAAACGAGTCAGAGACAAACACACACACCAGCACCAGCAGCTGTCTGTAACCTGATCAAAGACTTCCTCTCTTTGGCCTGTTTCCATTCAAACCATGGAACACAGTAACAGCTGTTAATGGACTGGTTTCCTCCAGACAAAGCTCTTACAAACAAATGACACCGCTGTCACCTGAACACAAAGCAGCTGCTCACAATACCCCAACACATCGTCGCCGTCATGTCATATTTGTTAACTTTTATTCAAGTGCTCACACCTCCAGCGTTAGCAGAGATGGAGGATTATGTTCACAGTTTTTTTTTTAATTCCCTAAATCTTAAGGTGACTCATGTTCAGCCTGGAAGCAATTGACATAGCGATTCAGGATCAGATTTTGTAGATTGAATTAACGCGATTAAGATGTTACTTTACACCTGCAGGTCTATAGCTGACTGAAAAAATGAACTATATTATTGTTTATTCGTTTGCCAAATAAAGTTTTTTCCTTTTAATCATTTTAGGCTGCGACTTCACTGCAAGAGGAACAAGCTAGTCCGAGAGCTGGAGGAGATGGTTCGACTGGCCACATCACTACATACTCAACTCAAAAGGTTTGTTCATCTCATTCCATTTCTGCTCGTAATGTCTTAAAGCATGATTACCGTTTATTACAACTTAGGTATTATTTTTGTAGTTTAATAGTAACATTGCACTCACCAAGATAATTGTTGAGCTCTGGGAACACTGTGACATGAATGTGAATAAGTCAGTTGGGTCAAGAAACTCGAGCAGTCAGAACTGTTTAATGTCCCTTTAATTAAATGCAGTCATGTGTCTCCTATTTATTTTTTACACAGCCATTTATTTAATGTATCATTTAGGACATTAAAGATTATCATTTAGTTATTATATACAAAGCAGGCAGTGACAGAGCAGAGCTTTGAAGTGAAGGGAAGGTTAAGAAATTTGGGGTGGTTGAAGTATTTAGCCTTTAACGACCAAACATTTGCTTAAGATGAAAGCCATTTTGTTCTCCTCGTCACTTTGATTTCGGTCATGATCTCGTAAAAAAATCAAATTTTCTATCCCAACCCAGAGAATCCTCAGGAATTTTTATGAGATGACGCAAGGTCGCTGTAAGAACCACACGTTTCAGAATCGTTTACACAGTCCTGGTTTTTCAGTTAAACAGTGATGATCTGAAAAGTTGAGAGTGAAATGAACAGTGTCAGTCAGTCTCTGTCTCCTCCTCAGGTGAGTTTCTCTATTCTCATCTCACGGCTCATTCATCCTGTCTGTCCTCCTGGTCTGATGGACATCAAAAGTGTCCCTGGAGGACAGGAACTCCTATCTGTCTGCGCTAATGAGCCCTCCTGCCTTAATTAGAGAGCGACTCATACAGAGCCAAGAGTGTGTGAGGAGGTAGCGACAGGAGGGCTGAGAGGAGAGTAGAGGACATACAGAGGGGACAAAGAAAATGGCTCTACTTTCCTCCTTAAAGTAGTCCCTCTGCTCCAATATTTATCTGTTTTTCCAGTTATTCATTTGGTTTGAAGCTTTAAATGGTGATGAACAACTCGCCTGCTGGACTGGGAGATTAAAAAAAAATAAAAATAAATATTGAGTCACATATTCTTAAACATGTTTAGGAACAATAAAAAGGAAAAGTAGAGGAGAGTGGCGAGACAGAGAAGGATAGAGGAGACAAGAAAGGGAAAGGATGGCAGAATATGAGATGACAGGAACGGAAAGTAGGAAAAAGAAATGAACAGAGTCAGAGACAGAAGTCTGCCTGCAGTGTTGCTTCAAACTCTACACGTAGCTTTCTTCTTTTTCATCTTACCTTTTCTTCCCTCTTGTCTGTAACTCACATTGTCACAGTTACTTCTCTAACTCAGCTTCTCCCAAACCTCTCTCCTCTTCCGTCTCTTTTGTCCAGTTTCTTTCAGTTAACTCACTGTAAAATAGTAAAACGCTGATATAACCGCTATTTATAAAAGCTATCAAATGAATGTGTTTTTCAATTTAATGTTAAGCTGATGCTCTTACCCGAAGCAACATGCAAGATGCTTATAATGCTTATAACAGCAGAAGAAACAGGTGATAAATTATATTTGAAAACCTCCATAGAGACATAAAGGAAGCTTGTAAGTACAGTACCTCAGG